CAAAATGCCTATGTTGTCCCGCACCTTTGATGCTGAGCCCACAAGGGATGGACATTTTCAGCACCTAGTTTCGCTCTTGAAAATGAAGACAATGGCCCCTAATCTCCACGACAATGAACCCAGACAGACAGACACACACACACACACACACACACACACACACACACACACACACCCCTGGTGACCATACTTGCCGTGCATGGCACCTGCTGTTTCCTTTGTTTCTTACCGTATTATCACCTGCCTCATGAGTTTCGCTGAGGCTGATTCCAGTACTTCAGTACTTCAGTTACTTTAAACAGTGTTCTACATAAACTGAGGAGGAATGGGAACAGTAAGAAAATCTTAAACCATCACCTTTGGCTTCTGGCATTGGGATTCCATCAGAACTAAGAGAAAGTGATGGAAAACTCCTTCCACTTTTAGGCAACTTGTTTGAAATGTCTGTTAAATTAATCATTGCAGCCAAATCAAACTCTATGTACTTCCAACTTGATAGGCACTAAAGCTCTTACAGAAAGAATTTCCATAAATCTAAACTGTCATTAGTAACATTATCTAAAGTGAAAATGCTTCCTCATGACTGTTTATCCAGTCTTACTGAAAAAGGTAGTATTAAGCATAAGTACATTTTCAGAAAACTGCCTTTACGCTTTTTTCAGAAAACGGACATTTACTCTTTTTCAGCAAGGATACTCTTTGAATATTATCTGTCACACTGCATCTGCCTAGTGACAGCATATCTGAAAGAATAGGAATGTGGTTTTTCCTTGATGGTGCAGATTAATTGCTACAAACACCCACGCTTACAGCACACAGTAAGAGCTTCTGGTAATATGAGAACTCTGGCCCTGAGAGGAATAGGAACAAAGATGCCCCTATCCAGAGTGAGTCTCCGACTGCACAGCAACAGGTAGATAAGCCCCACACTCACACAGGTACTAAGGCCTCGATCCCCAGAACCTAGAAGTGCTGCTTTACATGGGGAAGGCAAGGATCTTGCAGATGTGGAGAAGTTCCGGACCTTGAGCCTAGAGACGATTCTGGAGTGTCCAATTGGGCCGAGGCGCAATCACAAGAAGGAGGTAGCTGGGTGAGTCAGAGGAGATGTGAGGATAAGGCAGGGCAGAAGGGGCCAGAGGGTGCGACGCCTTTGGCCCTTGGCTTGGAATGCAAAGGCGGGCTTCCTAAGTCAAAGGGTACATGCAGCCTCTGCTACAGAGGACGAAGAAGCAGATTTCCCTCTCGAGTCCCCAGAAGGAAGGCAGGGCTGCTGACACCTGGACTTTAGGCTGCTGACCTCCAGAGCTGTGACATAATCAAAGTATTTTGTTCTAGGCCAGTAAACTTGTGATGATCTGTTATAGAAGACACAAGAAATGAACACATCCCTGTTACAGTGAGGGTGAAGGAGTACTTGCCAGCAGCTGCACAGGCAGAAATCCTGGCAACCTGGGTTTGCCCTCCTGAGGCCACAGTCTTGCCATTTTGCCTTCCTGCTTGCCCACGCAGCCCAGCACACAGAGCTTTGCCACCTAACGTGAGAAAAGCATTCTTCAGGAGGAGTCTTAATGGACCTTCTGCGGCAAGGGCTTGCAGAGCACACTGCTTCAGGGTTCTAGCATCTGGGGTAATTTGCACAGTGGCAAATCAGAACAGAAATAGCGATGGCAATAAAAAGACAGTTTAAAAACTCTCTGTACTTTAAAGGCTGAACTTCAAGCAACTATAGACTTAGCTTCATGATTCTCTGTAATTAGTACATCAGTTTTCATACAAGGAGGAATGCATCAGGAGGAGATGGTAACACCGAGTCAGATAAAACAACTGAAAAGCCCAGAGCCTAAAGCAGGATTAAAACGTGATGTATACTATTCCAGGAATCTGCACCCTACACCCCTCCACTCTTGTGAGGTTTTGGGTAACCAAGTCTCATTAAATCCAGTTGTGCCTCAGTTCACAAACTCAATTCTCTCCAGCATTCTGGTCACAAACCAAATTGGATGAGAACCAAATCCAATTTCCCCATAAGATCAACACTGAACCTAACCATTGAATTTGATTCAGTTCTTGTTCAACTCACTTTGCAACCAGAATTGTGGAAAGAATCAACTTCGTGAACCAAGGTACCACTGTAGTTAAATCTGTACAGCAGTCTAAGCTGACTGCCCAGTAAAACTGCTGAGTTCATTTTATACTATGGGCTCAGTTATTCCAAGAGACCTTGTGGTTTAGAAAAACATGACAGAAGAGCTTCACGTGTACCAAACACAGTGCACCTATAAAATGATATTTCTGAGCCTAGAAATCAGCCCCACTCACTCCTCCATCAGCCTGGGGAAGACCAGTAACAGAACCTGTCCTGCTCATTCCTCTGGCCCACTCCCATCCTGCCCTTAGCCTTCTATCTGGGATAAGGGAGGAAGAATTGGAGGAATGAGGACGCCATGCAGAGAGAATCTCTCTAAAACAGGCTGGAGCATGGGCACCATTTTGCACATGCTTCCTGATTTTCAGATATTACATTTTTTAGAAAGTAAGATGGCACAGGTAGAATAAGTGAGGTGACTTTACACTGGACTGACTGCGCTTCTCAGAGGACATAAGAGGAGGGAGAGAAATCTCCACACTTACACCTCCTAGAATACTTTAACAAGTAGCCACAACATCTCTTATTACGATCTAAAGAAAGGAGGGGGAAAGTTACTTCCTCCACTCAGATATGATTTCCATAATCAACTTTCCATCTGTCTAATTATTATACATCACAAGAGTGCTTGAAACCTGGAGAACTCCTCTTCATAAATTTTACCAGAAAGCTTCTTAACTCCAGTGTGTGAGAGAAGGTTGGACCAGGGAAAGGGGGAGACCCAAAGGAATCAGCACTGAACTTCAAAGAGCTTTTTATTTCATGATTAGAAATTCTCATTAGGTTGTGCAATATGAAAGCACTCCACAACTCACCCTCCTTCTTCTGGTAGCAGTGGGCAGAATCATGTATGGACCTCTGCACTGTGCCTTATGCCCAGGCCCTTTTTAAATTCAAAAGGGAGAAGTGTGTTACAGTGTAATTTCTGCACTAAATCCTTACAGACTGTTGGCATACATGCCAAGTGTTTGATCAGGCCCGTTAGAGATCAAGTTCTCTCTCTGTGCATACTGACTGGCAAACCTGTCTAAATGAAACCTCCACCCAAAATGGCCTATCATTTCTACAGTATGGTAATGAGCTCCTCGGGGATACAGGAATGCAGTAAACAGGGATACATCACTTTAAGTGAGCCAGTAAGTGTGAAAAATTCGATTCACAAGCAGGTAAAGGAGACAGTAATTACTCAATTCCTTTTTACTTCATTAAAAGTTGTCCAAGAAGAATCATTTAATAATGAGTTCCATAAATATGTTTTAAAGCATCTAATTTACAAGCACTTGATTTAACACAGTTATCTGGGAAATGAAACCAGAGCAAATAACTGGCACTTCTTGAGCACTGCTATATCCTAACCAGCTTATGCAATGCAGTTTGTTTTTCTTATTCACACCTCAAAAATTTACTGAGAATCTACTATAAACCAGGTGCTATTTTAGGTGCTGAGGACACAAACAAATACAGTACCTCAAAAACCCCTGAATGCAGGGCTTAAAATCTAGTAGAAGACACAGAAAATTCACAAATGAGGAAACTGTATAGTGCACTGGGAACAGAAAGCTTTAAGGAGTGTAGTTGTTTTGTTTTTGCAGTACCAGGGATTGAACTCAGGACCTTGCACTTGGGAGGCAGGCGTGGCTCCACTGAGCTAAATCCCCGGCAGAAAGAAGAAGTAGGAAAGATGAGAAAATGAAGTAAGTGGCAAGAGAGTTTCAGAAGTAGGGACAAAGACAAAATGGTAACTAAGGGAACTGTCTAGTAAACCTGAGAAAGAGAAGCCAAGTAGAAAAACACAAGAAATAGGGAGGAGTTTGGAAAATGGGGGGAGGAGGGATAAGACTTTATACACATACTCCACCTGGGAAAACTTATTCAGAATCTCACTCCTAGGTAAGGACCTGACACGAACAAAGATCCATTAGGACACAGGGAGGAACACTGCAGGCCAGGGAAAGGCTGGAGAAGACGCCGAGATGGGCTGTGCCTGGAGGTCTGAGGAACAAGGAGACCAATAACTTAGAGAGAGGAGAGCTGGTGGGAGCAGAAGAGGAAGGCAGGAAGGTGGGGTGGGCTGCAAGGAGCACAGGGACCACCGGGAGGATTTGTGCTGTGACTCACGAGCACAGACCCCAGGAGGTTTGTGAACCCAGGCAGCCTGAACCTGACTTGATCCAACAGGATCTCTGGCTGCTATGCTGAGAACAGACACCAGGGGACAAGGGAAGAAGAGAGGCAGCAGCCACTCAGGGAGCTGCTGCAAGGCCGGAGGAAATCTGCACCTCCACCTGTAAATGTACATGATGATGATAACACCTTCCTCCTAGGATAGTGCCAGTCATTAACCAAGAACTACCCTATTTCTTCAGTTCTGAGACACATTTTTTGTATCTCAGTATCTTAGAAACCAGAATGTGTCATGAAAGCCGGTATGACCCGTCACTTCCGTCAGCAGTCATGGCAGCTGACCCCACACGTGCAGGTGTAAACTTGGTCTCACAGCTCATATCCTCATTTCAATTAAGTTATGCGCCCTGCTAGTACATGTGCGGTGTTCAACTGCCATTTTAAAATGTCTTCCAAAAAATTCTGTTTTTCGGGCCAGCGGCATGGCTCAACGGTAAGGTATCATTTGCCTGGCATGTGAAAGGGCTGATGTTCTACCACCACTAGCAACGAAATAAAATGCTTTACAAATTAATAGTAAGCAAATCAGGGACAAAGCAGCAGGGCAGGAATATTAGTGAAGAACAAATTTAAAGTTGAGGTAGGACCTTTATCCATATTTTTCTGCAAAGCAACGACCTATGAAAGGAAGAACTAAATTTTTGTAAGTCACCTACCTGCTGGTTCTACTGAGAAACTCCAAAAGCGCCTTGGAATAGATGACAAAATGCCAAAGCGATGAGGAGCGAATGTGGCCAGTTCATACTTTCTGGGGATCAGAGAGCACCAGCAACAAAACTTGCAGGGCTTGGGCTTCAGGTAAAGCTTCAGGTCCTCACTGTAGTACCAGAGTCGTTCAGAAGAGTTGGGCTCAAAAGGTGCAGTTTAGGAAAATCAGCAAATTACTTTTCTGTTTTTCCTTTTATGTACATATAAGAAAGATATGATAACATAAATCTATGGTAAATTAGAAAAAAAAAACAGAGGCAAGAAGCGGCAGAGGCTTGGATGGAAAGGGATACCGAGAGGTGCTGGGAAGTGGAGAATCGTGCATTACTTGGAGAGAGAACCTGTGGGACTTGCTAACGGACAGTTAGCGGGGGAAGAACAACTGTCCAGACTGTCCGGGCTTTAGACCTGAGCCACTGAAATGTAGTCACCATTTACCAGGGTGGGGAACAGCTAGGTCAGTAGCCTTGGCCAGTGCCAAACCAGCTTGCTTCCTGTTTCTGTACACCTGCTAGTTAAGAAAGCTTCTACATGTTTTCAACAAGATTTTTAACACAAAAGAGAAAAGGAAGATAGAGCTGAAACTGTATGTGGTACTCCAAGCCTAAACTATTTGCTGTCTCTTTGCAAAGTCTGGCAACTCCTAGGCCATGGGAGACCAGTTTGGGAAGGAAGACCAGGAGCTAGAGATGAACATGCAGTTTAAGAGGCTGGTCAGATATCCAGGTACAGATGTTGGGTAGGCAGCTCCAGGTGCAAGGCCAGGCCCTGGGGAAGGGCTACCATGAGCTCAAAGCTTCTGAGCACAGAGCCCAGATCACCCAACTAGGCCTGAAGCCACAGCACCCTTGCCAGGTCCCTGTGAGTGCTATCCTGACCCAGCTATCAGGGGACAGTGCAAACTCTCCTGGCTCTGTGGATGGCTGCTCTTCACAAGAGGACTTCAGTAAGAAAGAAGCCATCACATCAAGAAACTCAGTTCTTCCTGAAAGGTTCAGGCAGCAGAAAGATCGGTAAGGCTGATTGGAGGTGTGGAATTCATACCTATATGACTTTAATGCTTTCATTATTTGCATCTGACCACGTAAGTGTCATTGTGTTTTTACTTTGATTATGGAATGTTTTATTTACAGAACACTGTTTTAAGTTTTAACAATTGGGACCCTGACACCTTTTCAATCTTCAGCAAGCCCTTGGTCAGTAATCCTGAGGACTTCCGGCTAAGCTTTCAGCTTTTCCACCAAGTCCTTCAAGCTCAGCCAAATTCTTGCCCATGATCCAACAGCACACACACAATGAGGCCAACTCCAAGAACATTTGTACCTAGCTGTATCAGCCCTTAAATCCTGAAATTAAAATCTCTTTGGAAATAACTTTGGTCTCCCATTTTTTGTATATAATTATGCTAAAATAACAGTAAATTTTAAATAAAGTTTAGCAACTTTGTTACATGAAGTATTCACAATTTTCTCACACAGTCAGGGTTTCTGAGTAAAAAGGGATGTCTTCAAAAAATTCTGCTTTATAGGCCAATGATATCGCTCAATGGTAAAGTATCATTTGCCTGGCATGCAAGAGGCCCCAGGTTCTAGTACTAGCACCAAAAAAAAAGCTTTACAAATTAATGGTTAGCACATCAACTATATAAGGGATTTCATGGTTTAGCTGCCTGTCTTACAAGAACAAATCTTCCTTCCCTCTACCTAGCCCAAGCCAGGAACCTGTCCCAGTGCTACACCCATTGTGCTTTTGTCCGCCATGTCTTACACCCTGCCCCTTACATCCACCAGGCCCACCTGTTCCTCTGTCCTCCCTTCTAGGTCATAACCTCCTCCGAGGCAGAGACTGGTCCTTAGGGTCTGGTGCCCTCAAACCTCCCTTCACGGCTGGCACACACGAGAGCCCAATCCAGGCTCCCAAGGAATGAAGAGAAGTGCTCTTGAGTACACTTTATCGAGGCCAAATATGCCCACTTACCATTAGTGTTTTAGGCTGAGCCCCACTTTGGATGGAACATGGGAACCTCGTGGCAGCCCGGACAACACCAGCATCCACCAGAAAAGGACGGAAACTTCCGGAACCCACATCGAGGCCTCCTGAGGCTGCCCCACTCCCTGAAGCAGCCTCCTGGTCACACCTGGCCAGCACACACCACACATCCAGAGAATACCCAGCACCTGCCAAAGTCAGGCCACTCTGCACGAGGCCCTGGTCATGCTGCCTTTCTGAGAACACCAGCCCCAGACTACACACTGACAGGACAGGGTCACTTGGGGTCACTCACCGTCAGCCGTGTGAAGGAGCTTGTGACTCTTCAGCGTCCCCTTTGATTTGAATTTCTTGCCACACATGTCACACAGGTGCGTCTTCTCAGTGCTGTGACGATTCATATGAGCCTTGAGGTTACTCTTGCTACGAGTTGCATACTCACACAAAGAACACTTGAAGGGCTTCACACCTACCAGGGAACAAATATACATACATGTGTGCAGACATGTGAGAGGATGGCACTGTGATGCCAAAACACTCTAACAAAAAGCAGAAGCCTCTGGCTTTCAGAAGCCGTCTCATCGCTCTAACATTGTTTAAAATAGAGATCTTTCAAATTGTAAATATACAACGTGAATGCACCATCACAAATAAATACAAAAGCACTGACTGTATATGAATACACACAAACATCTACAGAGGGTTTTCTATCCCTGTAAATGATCTCACTGCCCTATACAGTTTCATCAGACAGATAAGAAAATTGATGTTCAGAAAGAGGAGGTGTTGGTGCCATCCCACAGCTCCTAAGTGGTGAGGGCAGAGCTGAACCGCACACTCAGGTGCACGTAATTAGTCAGACGCTTCCTGAGTTCTAGGTCTCCAGCCTCCCTGTGCCTCACCAGGGTCGGTTCCCTGCAGATTCCTGAGTGCCATTCCAAACCTGTCCTCTAGACAGGTGCTTCTGCCTCCTTTTTGCTGAGAACACTGGCCAAGGCCATGGCTGCCCTCTCCATGAGGAAGAGCAGCACTCCCAGATAGGCCTGCCGCCTTCACTCCTGGTCCTGACGCACGTCAGTGGAGAAGCAGAAAGTGAGGGCTTGGGGATCAGATGGCATGATCCAAACCCCAGCCCACCTCTTGTCAGCTGCGTGACCATGAGCATATCACTGAACCTGTCTGAGCCTCTTCTCCCTCACAGTATAAAGCAGATGCTTCTGAGGTTATACTAGATCATATCCCATGGGTAACGCACCCTGCACCTGGCTGGAGCCAGCAAGTGTTCAGTAAATGCCAGTAAACAAAAAGATCTTCTGCCTGGGATCTCAACCCTTCTGCCTTCCTCAGAGTCCTATCCATCAGCTGAAGTTCTCTTACTGAACTGTTAAACAGCCTCTTCCTAACAGTCTCTTGCCTGGAACTTATAACAAGTCACTTTTATTGAGAAAATGCTCTACTCTCCATCCCCCTTTAGTCTTATCTTCCCATCTACAGCATTCCTGCTCCCTACGCAGCAGGAAGGGACTGATGCAAAAGTCTGGAAGAACTTTTCCTGGGCCCCTTCTCCCATTCGCTTTCCCAGGTCCATATCCATGACATGGGGAGAAAACAAAGTTGGTGGCAGGCTGCCTCTACCAGAATCTTGACTTACGCCTTCTCAAAGTCTCAGCAAGTGGCTCTCCCACACTGCTTTCATGGCAAGTGCCCCAGAGCACAATCCACACTCTCACTCCACTCCACTCAGTCCCCTTCTGAGTACTTTCTCCATGATGTGAAAGCAACACTCCGCACCACCCTCTTCACCTTCCCTTGTTCCTGATGCCAGTGATCCTTCAGTGCTGCTGAGTGCAGGGCACAGTATGGGCAGTGGAGCTGCTGCTGTGCATGCAACATAGGTGCTCAAGACACACAGGTGACCCTGTTTCTCAGCAAGGGATGCATGGTGACTATTTCAGGAGGAAATACACACATCCACTCGGTGCAAATGCAGCAGGATGAGTAATGGTGTAAATGTCTGGCCTTTAGGGGCTGACGGCACACCTCTATGTGGTAAAGAAGTCTACCTGCAGGGATGTGGAGACATAGCTTCCTCCTAATGGACTCCCAAAATAAAGTTCGGGGCACAAAATTAAAGGGAGCTCCATGTGGGCAGACCACCACTCACCCTCATGAGCCCAGATGTGCCGCTGAAGGTCTGAGCCGTTCTTCATGAAATAGAAATCACAGTATGGGCACTTCATGGCTCTCTTTCCAATTAGCCCTTTCAGCTGCACCCGCCTCCCAAGCACCTCAGAAATGGTGCTCATGGAGACCTCTGGAAGAAAGCAGGATGACGATGAGAGGAGGTAAAGGACTCCGGCTTGAGTTAGGTGTGAAGAAGCCTCCTGATAGCACCTGCATCACTAAGGGGACAAGTCAGGATGTGCCTGGTGGGATCATGAGAGCTTTCCTGCCTAAAAAGGTAAAGCAGGATCTCATCGAGCTTCAAATCTAAATACCTGTTAACATAAAACATGAGGGATGGAAAAATGACACAAAGCAACAATCAGACAAGTGCAGAATGTGACAGTGTCTACAGGAAAAGGGACCCGGTTTCCTCCCAGAAATCAATGACAGGGAACAAATGTGAGAGTACTAGTAGAACACTAGAAACCTAAGTGACATAATTACCAAACAAAATTCTTGGGGGACCAGGGATTTAGCTCAGTGGTTTCACCACCTGCTGCGCAAGCACAAGGACCCGAGTTCGATCCCTGGTACAAAAAAAAAACCCCAAAACCAAAATTCTTGCACCTTGATTCAAATAAACCAACTGCAATTAGATGTGTGTGTGTGTGTGTGTGTGTGTGTGCGTGTGTGTGTGTGTTAGGTCAACTGGAAGATTTTTAAATGGACAAATACTCAATGGTAGTAAGTATTCACTGTTAATTTTGTTTTTGATTTTTGTTTTTGTTTTTTTGGTGACAGGGTGGTTATGTTGAGAAAAAGCCTTATGAGTTAGAGAAGATTTGTAAGGTTTTGATGGCTAAACTGCATGATACCTAGGACATACTTATTCTAGGGGAAAAAAAGGGTTTATGGTATAGATACATGAAAAGCGTTTTCAAAATGTAGATCGCTGTGGAAGGTGAGTTACAGATACATGGAGTTCCTTATATTATTCATTTTTCCAAAATATATATTTTAGTAGTATATATTAATTTTACAAAATAGTGCATTTCACAGTGCCATTTTCATACATGCATATATCCATCCTCTCTAGTGCCCTCCCTTAAACCCCCACATTCATTTTCTCTTCTCTAATTCCTTTCTCTTCTACTTTCATGTCATTTTTTTCCCCTTCGTATTATTTTGTGTACTTTTGTACATGTTTGAGATTTTTCCATAATAAAAAGCTTAAAAAGATGCTGAAAGAACACTTTAGACTTCTTCTTGAGCAAAGGCCAGTGGTTTTAAATGACTGTCTTGGGCTCATATTGGACAACCGGTCACTTACAACACAGGTTGCCCTGGGAAGGACAGAACTGGGTCTGCAGAGCATCTCAGAGCCCAAGCATCGCCACGCCAATGAGGGTTCAAGGCGTGTCTGTTCCCAGAGAAAGCAGGGGTGTCCGTGCCTATTTGTTATTTCTTCCCTTTTCTCCATTGCTCATCATTTACAATCAGTGAGTCTGTTCCCTTATACCAAGGGCAGATACAAATTTTTTTATGAAAGAGACCAGGGTGCAGACAGAGGCACACTTAGCTCACACAGCTGTTGCTTATTTACACAATGACGGGGCACTGGGGATCTGGGGTTAAGCCCCGTCAGAATGACCCTATGCAGGGGAGACAGTGGCAATGGCTAGAGTACAAGGGCTCAGCATGCCACAATGCTGACGGGCTGGGCAGCCACAAAAGCAGCCCCAAGGGAGAACTTAAAAAATGAACAGGACTTAAGAGCAGAAGTGACAGGACATGGGTGTCCAAGAAGCTGGTACATCTCACCTGAGCAGTGTAGGAAGCTAGGCCCACAGCGATGGCCACTTCCATGCATGGAAGCTCCTCAGGCTGAGAGGGCACCAACGCTACTGATAAACCGCCACTGTGCGCTACACGAACCCAAGACAACAGCCCGGAAGAGGGCAAGGACCCTGGTCAGACACACGGCACAGATGATCCACCGAAAGGCATTTAAGTTCATGATAAAAGGGGGAGAGGGTCACTGAGACTGTGGGGAGCAGAAGATGTGACTGAAATTTGGGCAACAGAACAAAATGAATTAAATAATTCTATAAATCTCCCAGCTTTAAATACAGACGATGGCTTCCCTTGAATTTCTTTATGTATTTCTTCTTCTTCATTTCCATATAATACAGTTGATATTTAATGCTTTAAAACAGACGTATTAAAATTGATTTCCCAAATTGATCACTCCAAAATCCATAACCTTACCAGGATGGTTGGTCTTGATATGTGACTTTATCAATCGATCTTCTGAAAAAGACTTTTCACACACAGGACAAGAATAGCTCCTTTTGTCCTTAATAAAAAGAGAACATAATCAATTTACAGTCTTGTTTAAATCTACGGTATGCAGAATAATAACTGCCACCATCATGACCACCACCACCATCATCACTACCCATCACATCACCATCAACAAGAACAATAGCATTATCATCACCATCACCATTATCACCACCACCCTGACCACTACCACCACCATCATTAGCAGCAGCCTCATCAACCAGACACAGAGCATATCCATCCAACACTTAATACACAGTCTCCACCTGGCCTGGCACAGCCTGGGGAGCTCATCAGAGGGCAATGGCATCAGCTCCATTTTCGAATGGAGAGACAGGGCTGGGAAGAGTCCGAGGGAAGGGGCAAAGGGCAGCACTCAACGTCAAAGCTACGGTTCTGCCACACAAACCAGTGCTGCTCCATGGCCCAACAGCATAATGTATCTTCATGGTTTCCATGGGGTTTCATATATGTTATTATATAGACACTCACAACTACTCACAAAAGGGTTTTTTCATGCTTCAGATGAAGAAGCTGAGGCCTTGGGTAATAAGTCCAAAGTCTGAGAGGAGGAGCCAGCATTGGAATGCGAGCGTCCAGATGCCCCCCAAGACTCCCCCTGCCACTCTAAGACCATGTGTCTACCCAAGACCACAGGGAGGAAATTCACCTCCTCCTAGCTTGATCAACTTGGTCCCCACGGTGTTACACTCTCAGCTGGGCAGCAGCTCTCACGAATGACTGAATTAGAGCTTCTGCTCATCTACTTCTCTCCCAGAGCTCCCCTCAGAGATATTTCATATTCTAGTTTTCCCCAGAAGGTGGAGTTATGGGTTGAATTGTGTCCCCCTCCCCACCACCAAATTTTACACATTGGAGTCCTAATTTCCAGTTCTTCAGAATGTCACCTTCTCTGTAAAGATTGAGCCTCGTCTTTACAGAAGTGACTCAGGTAAAATGAAGGAAACAGAGCCAGCACTAATCCAGTACAACATGACTGGTGTTCTCATGAAAAGGGGATATTTTTACATAGACATGTACAAGGTGAAGGCAGAAACCAGGTGATGCATCTATGAGTCAGGAGGGGCAAAGATTGACAGCAAATCACCAACCGCCTGGAGAGGAGCCTAGGGCAGATTCTCCCTCACGCCCCTCAGAAGGAAGAAACCTCCAACACCCTGATCACAGACTTCGAATTTCCAGAAGTGAGATAATGTCTTATCCCACTTCCCAAGCTTACATCTTAGAGAGCCAAACTGATGGGAAGGACCAGAGTGTCCAGATGAACAAAGCCTGCAGAAGCCATTAGTACAAGAAACTGTTCTGAGCCATGTGCTCTCGGGATGTTAGAAGGTCTCTGCTCACGTGAACTTAAGGAGAACTAACTCCACCTGCAAGCTTGGCACTGCAGCAAGCATTCCCCATGCCTTGAGCAGATGAATGCTGATCTCACAGCCTGCTCTGTACCTCTAAATAATAATAGCACAACAGCTACCTTCACTTCTTAAGAACTTACTGGATGTGGGTGTTTTATGCACTCTGTGGGGCATCTAGAAACTTGCCTGAGGTCACACCACCATGGAGAACAGGGTAGGATGTCCATGCCAGGTCTCAGGCCCCCAGAGAGATTGCTTTTATGAGACTGGAACCAGCAGTACAGGCTGAAGGCTCAGAGTCCCTGGGCTTAATCCTGGTTCTGCCACCTATTAGCTGGGGAACTCTGGGCAAGTGATTTAACCTCAGTGCCTCATTTTCATCATCTACAGAATGGCAATATAAACAGTGCCTCCTTCATAAGGTTGCAAGGAGAATAAAGGAGATAGCGAGCACCAGAAGTGCTCAGAACAGAGCACAGCCAAAGGCTGCAGCGAGGGCTCAACAAATCTCAAGGGCCTTGTTGCAGTGGTTTTAGTGTTATGATAATGCAACTTAGCCTGGTATGCTGCCCTTCTTAAGAGCTAAGGCATGCCAGAAATCTCCGGGCGGGTTTGGAATGAGCATCCCCAAACTCCTTTGTAGATTGGTTCTCCTTGCTGTTGTGGAACAGCTCCCAAGGCCAGTGTTCCCCAGGGCACACTCAGGAAAGAAAGAAAAGTCCTTTGGAACAACCAAGTAGTCCCAACACATTTCCCACCATAGTGGGACCAAGCAATGCCTGCCAAGCCCAGATGCCCACCAGGTCCAAGCAGCTGTCCAGCATCTGCCCTGAGCTCTCTAGCCAACCAGTGCCACAGACCTCCTCGCAGGTTGCGTCAGGGGCTTGGGGCTCTTTGATGTGCTCTATGATCATCCTCCATTGTCTTGACCGTGTGTTCACAGTGTTCACAGTGCATCCTAGAGGAGGATCCCACCCCCCACCCCCATTGTCCCCAGTGCCCTCATCATCAGAGCTGATGGAGGCATTCAGGAAAGCTTTGAAGGGGTTTCCACTGATCTCCTGGAGCCCTTGCAATTTGATTTTTCTTCTTTTAATCCTTGATAGTCTGAAAGCAATTTATCTCAGTTTATCAGGGCCTCTATTTCTTAATCCCTTTGAAGACTGTCAGAAGGACACAGACAGTGGTAAAGGATGTTGGGAGAAGGGTAGATTCTCAGCAGTCATCTTCTTCTTTTTCACACCTCAGTGCCTTGCCAGAGATAAGACCCAAACACACAAGGCAAATTTTAAAAGAGGTATAGTTAAAAGAGCTCCTGGCAGAGGCGAGGACACACAAGAAAGCCAGCTGGAAGGATGGGAAACAGCCCAACTCTCGGAGTTTGTTTGCTTGCCTGGAAATACCTTCAAAACTATCATGACCTTCTGAAAGAAGAGCAGAGCCTACAGGAGACCACAGACCTGGCACAGGGTGCAGGACCAACCCAGGCCAGACACGCAAATCCCAGCTCGTCACTCTGTACAACTCACTTGGTCTGTACTTAGAGGCAGGTACTTTGGCCCCCAAAGGAACTCAACAGTTCACAAGTTCAAAACCAGCACTGGATGGAGAATATCGAATCAAATACTCCCACAAACTGTATGTAACTGATGCATAAGTAAGTACCTCTGAGACAGGGACTTAAAAGCTGCTTTTGCTAAAAAGTACTGACTCTCCACTTGGGCCTGCAAATACCCAATAAGTAACTGAAAGTAGGATAAGGCTTGACATCTCTGCCTTCATTTTTGTATCTGTCTCCTCTATTACCTGAAACTTTGGGTCAGATCTCTACTTAGCTCTTCCTGTGGGCATGTTAATCATTCAAGGAACAAGTGTCTAAAACAAGAAATACATGGCTTATTTGCTCTAAATCTACCTAACCCATTGCATTCCCCTTCAGGACTGAGGACACCAAGAGTATCCAAGGTATTTTCAAGCTTTGCAGGGACATTCAACTGCCAGCTTTCACAATGTCCTATTCCAGGCGCCTTGGAGCAGTACTTAAAAGTCTCTAGTTACAGCTGGGTTACAACAAAGCCTCTGTGGACAGATCACCTCATGACAAATAATCTCCCTGAACAGGAGAAAGTGCCCGATGAGAGAAACTGAGAGTACCCCCCCTCAACAGGAGCAATCACCTCATGTGAACAGACTGTCCCCTCAGATGGTGAGGACTTCTTGGGAGTCACCAGAGAGAACCAGAACTGACAATGTCAGCTAGACCCTAACTTGGCCCAGAAATCCAAGAAGAGCTTCTCTGTTCCCTTTGCTAACAGGCCTGCCTGATCTCCACTGGGCTCCTCTTCGGCTCTTTTTCTCCTCAATCTGAAGTCCACTTCCATGTTCTCTCGATTCTCAGTTAAAGCTTTTGCCTGGGAGTCCATGCCCTTTCCTCAGTTTTAATTTCTCCTGTCACTGAGACAGTACTCTTGCTTCCAGCATGAACCAAGTTGGGGATTCTACTAGGACTAATTTCTCAGCAATAAAGCCAATGGTTACAGTATCTGCTCTCCTCTATGGCTTCACTCACTCATTTCATCACAGGACCCCCATTATATGCCAGGCACTGGCACTGAGGACAAAAGGGGTGAGAATATCAAGGGCTCAGGAGCTCATCAAGAAGCAGACATGTCCCAAACAGGGCCTGACGGCCAGCACAGATGGAGGTAGAGGGAGCAGCATAGGAAAAGGGATACCCAAGGAGTGAGCAATTCACTCAAGGGAGAGAACAGCCTGTGTGTTTTCTGAAATTTAGGATTTCAACAGTCAGATTTCCCTTTTCACTGAAGACAGCTCTGTTGTGCCATGTCATGGCCTTTCAATGCTGAGTCTCAAAGATATTCTATCCACAAGGAGCTCTGGGAAACTGGGGCCTCCTGCACAGTGGGTAAGAGGCCCAAGGCGTAACACAGAATCAAACCTTTTGTGATAAGTATGAAGACCATATTCTTATAGCTCTTAAAAAGGAATAATATGAAAAAAAGGAATAATATGTTCTATCACTTTATTTACATAATATTTTTCTCTACTAAAAAAATAATCAATACTGACCAGGTATATTCATTTATTTCCAGAAAGATATTGAAGGTAACTTCCTCTACTTTCTCTGTGCTTTGTTGCCAATATATTATTTTAGCTTATTTCCAGCAAGTACATATGATCAGTGGCTGATAGGTTTATCTGAGGGGATGCCCCCAAGGAAGGAGGTCGACTGCCCACCTAACAGCACCTTCCAGCACATACTGCAGATACAGTGACATACAGACACTCAACACTGAAACAAAGGCCTCAGGAAGCAACACTTCCCCTGGGAGGGGGTGAGTTCTGCTGACAAGTTCTGTTTTATTTCTGTCCTATTTCATTTTTAAGATAGCTAGTTATGACTCAGTAAACTGGTCACAACCTTCTAAGGCACTGTGATCCATGGATCTTTTCTTCAAGAGAATACCAACCTAGGTGTTCTATACTTGTTTCCTAATTTGATCTCCACAAACCTGAGAGGTAGGGGTTTGGTTTGGTTTGGTTCTTGCTTTTCACAGTACTGGGGACAGAACCCAAGGCCTCACACTTGCTACAAGCACTCTACTGCTGGGCTATA